AAATTTTTTCATTACTAGTACAGAGGAATAACAAAAAATTCAAAAGAAAATTTCTAATTTTATTTTGAAATTATGTTTTAGATTATTATCTCTATTTATTTTAAGATTTCACAAATGAAGAAATGTTAACAATAATTTCTAGTTTTTGTATAAAGAAAATTTTAAATTTTATTCACAATTGCTATTAACCACAAGTGGTAAATTAAATTACAAATAATGTTTATCATTATGTAAGTTATTTTTTAAGGTAAGGAATTGTGAAATGCCCCATGTGGAAATGGCGATCATCAGCGGTCCCGTGACCCGTTAATCGAGATGTGAACAATTTCAAGTTGACTTGACTATCGACCATGGCTTCCACGACGGAAACAAATTCGTACCAAGAGCATTGGGTTACTGGGCCACATTCCACAAATTTCTATTGTAGGACATATGCCGCGTCGGATTCGAAAGCGACACTCGTTTTCCTTCATGGATTCATCGAACACATCGGACGATACACGCACGTGTTTCCACAGTGGCAGGCCCGAGGAATCAACGTCTTCACATTTGACCAACGCGGATTTGGCCTCACGGCAGAAGACACTGAACATAAGAGCTCGGATAGCTCGTATGCAAAGACGTCGGGCGCAGATCAGCTGGAGGATACGGAATGGGCGGTGACCGAGGCGAAGGCGCGATTCGGTGAGGAATTGCCTGTCTATGTGATGGGACATTCCATGGTATGTCTCAGGAAGGACCGACGAAATTTAGGTCGTGATTTTTCTGAACTACGCTAGGGAGGTGGGACCGTTCTTGAATTTGCGACACGAACCAAGCACAAGCTCGCTGGCATCATTGCATCAGCACCCCTAATCCTACAGACCAGCGCGGCACCTAAAATCGCACGTTGGGTTGGTGGAAAAGTTAGCCTGATCGCGCCGTACGCGACCATTCCAGCACAGGTTAAAGCGGAGGTAAGTCACATCAGCCCCATTCTCTATACTCGTTGTCCATTTCAACTTGTGTAGGAGCTTTGTAAAGATCAGAAAGTGTGCGAAGCGTATTTGCAAGACCCTCTAGTAAAACAGAAAGGGACTTTAAGGGGGGTTAGTGACATGCTCAATCGGGTACGCCTTTGCACCTACACTTGCTGTTATGTGATCTGGATGGTAGTATACAGGGTGAAGAGTTGCTGAAAATGAATTATGAAAGCTGGCCCGAGGACCTGCCTGTGCGAGCGTTTCATAGCTTATTCATGGATCTATCGTTGACAATTAAGCAGCTTCTGATTATCCACGGAACAGGTGACAAAGTAATTGCTTAATCCTGTCCAGTATTACTTTGTTGCTTACTAAGGCCAAAGGTCACCTCGTATCGCGCCAGCCAGCGCTTCCACGACGCAGTGCGTGCAAAAGATAAAACCATCTTACTCTACCCGGTGCGTATAGAGAATATTCTCTGCGAATCTTTCGTCGTCAGTTGACAGAGCAATGTTCGCGCCCAGGACGGATATCACGAATTACATAACGAGCCTGACGGAGTCAGCGACAAAGTCATTGATGAATGTATTTCATGGGCTGAGGTGCACTTGCCCGCAGCAAGTCCCCAGCTGGAAACGATGGCAAGGTTATAGTCACAGGTGCCTTTGCGGACGATTCTCCCCTAGGTTTTATTTCCTCGATTCTAATTTCGTACTCCCAACATTCTCGTCGGAAGACTAAATTGTGCTATATGACTGACATTCTTCGGCGTGATAGACACATTCGGCATGTGATTCTGAAAGCAATCGTATGAGTGTTGCCATTGTTGACTTTCTAAACGAATTTGCATTGTAATTTCATCTTCTAACAGTATAAATGGATTACGAATAGGGTAAATTGCGTGGCGAGCATGACTTCTGGCCAAGATGGACAGACGACGTGTGTAACGCGTTGGCCTGATACTTCCTTGGGGAATGTCTATTACCACGACGACCTCTCGTTACGGATCATATCAAGCAGTACTGGGTTACGAATTCTTACTATTCAAATAACGGCAGCGTTCGCCACAGACCGAGATGACCTACATCGCCAGTTGCGACACTCCGAGAAGCTGTTCTGGTTCTGAGCAAAGTCGGCCTGCTGGTATATATCCAACGCCATCCGTTGTCTTGAGTGCCTAGATACAAACACCCTTATTCTGGCCCGATGGACCTCCACTCCTAAAACCTTGCTTTACTTTGCTGATTCTACTGCCCTACCTTGGTTAGCTTGCTTTGCAGAAGTCGCGGACTAAGGTAATTGCTACTTATCCGCAAAACAAACTCTGTATGCACCGTTCAGCTTGTACTTGTGCATCTGTCTCATCTATGCTCTGCGGTATCCCATTTCTTTGTAACAGGGTACCTACCTCGATTTATTTCCGACTGGCTATTTCTAGTTTGCCTGCACAGCATTTTACGCCATAATGGTTTTGGCTCCGGAGCTACTCCGGACACCTCGGTATCTTACCCTGATGCTGCTTCTCAAAACGGTTCTAGCGCAGACGATCCAAGACGTGGTAAGTAGCCATTACTGATACTTTCTAGCTTCCGTTCAATACTGATATCGTTATGATTTTCATCTACAGTGGGAGACCACCTCGGACAAGAAGTCACTTCTCAAACACCTTCCTTCTGCCGGCGTCAAATTTGGATCGGGTGGTAATGGAGATGCAGAAATCGATGTAGATAGCGGTACTACGTATCAGACTATCTTTGGATTCGGTGCAAGTTTAAGTGCGTTACGTCTACACTTGCTCCTTGGATTCCATTGATATTCATTCACCTTGGGGCCAGCCGACTCGGCTGCTTACACGTTCAATAAACTTAAGGTAGTTCCGTTGTCGGGATTGTCGTTCAACGAGTGTTTAAGATAATTTCAGACGACTAATGCTGGTGCCTACTCCGGATTGCTCAAGTCTATGTTCGACCGTGAGCACGCTTTTACCTCTGATCTTATTTGAGACTGCTAACGCCCTCCCACATTTAGCCTCGCCGAATGCTAACTCCGCTGGGATGAACTATATTCGCGTTCCACTTGGCGCATCTGACTTCTCTTCTAAAGGTCAGTCAATATAATCTCGTACCCCGGACGTACATTCCTGATCATCATCGTGATGCCATCGCAGGCTACAGTTATTGCGATAAGAAGGACGAGTCGCTCAAGAGCTTCAGCATTGATGTGACTCCCTCCTACGTGTTTACCACCCTGAAGGATATACAAGCTATAAATGGCAACATCAAGATTCATCTCTTACCTTGGTCTCCTGTAAGGTTTCCGTCATATAAACACTACACATGCGCTAAAATGCACCTCAGCCCGGATGGATGAAAGATACTAAGTCAATGAATGGTGGTAATTTCGTTGAAAACCACACGGACCAAAGTTAGCGTTCACCCTTTTTCTCTCGTTGTTATGGCTTTATAACTGGTCAAACAAAGTGGCGAACTACTTACTGAAGAGTGCACAAGCGTTCAAATCAAAAGGGTTTAATGCTTATGCTATTTCTATTCAGGTGAGCACTCTCGGTAGACCAATGAGTGGTCAAGCTGAAAACGTCTTTACTCGCATTTCAAGAACGAGCCACAAAATAGAAACCCGACCTATCCATCAGCGCTTTATACTACTTCAAATTACGCCGCGGTTGCCGTCAGCCTTCGCAAGTTGCTCGATGCGAATGGAATGCAAGGCGTCAAAATAATTGGGTATGAACATAATTGGGACAATGCTGGTACATATGCCACACAGCTAGTATGTCATAATCGGTATTGGTATCCTATTTCTAAATAGTCTTTCGCAGATGAGGGAGAAAGGCGCGAGTGATGCATTCGATGGTGTGGCATTTCATTGCTACACCGGAAGCGTTACCAACCAGGACACGTGGCACAGCGCTTTCCCTAATAAGGAGCTCTACTTTACTGAATGCGCTGGGACATTGGCATCCGATTGGTGGAACGACATACAGGTGATAGGCTCTAACATGATTCTTCCTTGTCACTGTTGCTGATACTTGCTGCAGTGGTATGCGAAGCATATGTATGAGTCATTAACGTATAGACTCGCTATTCTTGGCTCATTAACTTGAATGTATTAGCTTCATCGGCGGCCTTACTCATTGGGCGCAGTCAGGCCTCATGTGGAACTTTGCTGCTGACCCGCAAGGAGGTCCCGTTCTACCTGGTGCTAATAGCTGTGAGAAGGGCTGCCGTGGCGTCATAACGATCTCTTCGGATGGAAAGGTAACGTTGAACCAAGAGTGTATGTCTTCGTTTAGTTAGCATAGAGACCCGGAGTAATGTTGTCCATTCAGACTACGCCATAGCACACGCTGCGAAGGCGATCCTTCCCTCAGATTCCAGCGGGCAGTTTGGGAAACGCATAAAGGTTGGCGTCAAGGCTGACTCGCTGACTGTTGGCGCGTATGCAACGAAAGCCTCCAACGGCACTCGCTATAGTCTGGTCGTTCTGAACGCGTGAGTTCATGCACTCTTCAGAATGGGCTTCAACTGGCTAATACAGAGCAAAGCGGCGGGAACACGTTGAAGACCTCAATTAAGTTTCAAGGCAAATCCGTATGTTCACTCGTTTCTTGTGCTGCAATGCAGGTTGATCAACGATTTATGCATCTAGGCTTCTTATTCCTTTCCCGTTGGCTTGACCACGATGTCCTGGATGACATAAACTATTCTCACCGGAGATTTCTCTCAGATCTATCCGTTGTAAGTCATTTGCAGGGTTCCCATTGGAGAGTTGGTATTCTGTTTTGGCCTATGATTATCTATAATACCTCAGTTTTACGCTGTGCTTCTTGACTATTCTTTTTTAATTCGTCCTATCACTTCTCATCCCAGTTCTACTTCTATTCTAACTGTTTCGGACTAGGCCCTACTTCACATGTACGAGTACATGCAGTTACAATTTTTCTGATAGTTTGCCTCAAACAGTGTATTTTGTCGGATCATCATTCGTGATCCATATCGTGCATCAATGCTACCGTACTGAATGGAACCATCCTATTGTTCGAACCCCTCGAAGATGCCTTTGGCATTGAGGCTGTCCATAAAGCTTCTGTGAAAGTGAAGTGTTGGGCGAGAACTTACCCGGATTGTGTCAGGGAGAAGGCTGAATTTCGGTATGAACGAAAGACGAGGAAGCTCTACATTGTACTTCAGCCGATCGATGGTCATTAAAAAACAATATAACTGAACGAACATGCTCCAATACGAAAGTGAGACTGGCAGTGTCTCTGCTTTGCTTCATAAAGCAGTCCTTTTTGATGCTGTACATTCAATAAACAGCACAGGGGGGTTGGGAAACTCTAATGAGGAGCTAGAACCTGATCTCGTCAAATTAAACGCTTAAAAGACTTTGTAACATGAATGCCTATGCAAACGCCGCGATTTGCGGGTAACATCCATGAATTAGCGTCTACTGAGAAATTACAAAAGCAGTACTGGACAAGCAGGGATAAATAAAAATACGTAAGAGATCCCAGCCAAAGCAGTGACATCCGCCCCTAACGAACAATGAAAGCGAGATAAAAAGCAAGTTTTTGAAATTCACATGAAAGAAGGGGTGAGCTTTTTTGTCAGAAGTTAAATGGTACTGAAAATAAATTGACGCGATAGGAAAGGGCTGAAAACGGAGAAAGTGAAGAGAAAAAGAATAGGAGTCAACAGAGTTTCATAGCACGCTAAAACCTGCGCTTTGCAACGAGGCATGGCGCATGCCCTGGCTAATGGGCACTCATCTCCTCTCATCTTCTGCGTGACTCACTTGCGGAGCGACCCCGCGCACGATACATATCCCCTTGACCCTGGACACGAGGTTCTCTGGTGTCTGGCTCTCTGTACGGGTAGCTTCCGTAGGCTGGAGGCTCGAATGTTGTGCCAGACAGTGAAGGCCGTCGCTTGTGGACAGTGGGTCGGGATTTCTGGTCAAATACAGTTAGGATTCTCATAAATCTTTAATTGAGAGGTAATATGAGTTCGCGTACCTTTGGATTAAGAGGAGCCGGAACTTGCAGAGGTGGGCTGGGTGGAGAAGGCACCACAGCTCGAGGATGTGGGTGCGGTTGGCGCACTGATTGCATTGGCATTGGATAGCCTGATCCAGGTGGACCTTGAACGAATGCCGGCAAGTTCGGATTTCGGTATAACGCGGCTGGTATGTTTAGCCGCGGAGGTGTACGGTGGTCTTGCGGAACAGAAGCTGAATGCGACCGGGATCGACGGTGAGAAGAAGACAGGGGTTCATCGACCAGAGGTGGCTGTCTGTTTGAGTACGAAGAGCCAGCATGAGCGTAAATCGTCGACGATTGCTTCGCGTAGGCACGTCCTCCCGATCCTACGCCACGATCCTGTCCGCCTAAGTCCGTTCTTGACGACTGCTGCGACGACGTTCCTTCTGGCCTTAGAGGCTTTATGTGGTTCCTAGACGTCGCATTTTGCTGTCTATAACTATGTTGGGAGTGCTGCTGCACCCAGCGCGCTGTGCGGTCCATTGCGGAGTCCGGGTTCATGGGTGATGAGCGACTGCGAGAAAAGAGTATGGGGGTCGAGCGGAGCCTTGCTTTTTGTAGTGCCGATCACATGGGGACTCCTAAGTGAAAGCTTCGCAGTTCTTATGAATAAGCTGTGCACCTAACGTGCTGTAGCAGAGGCACGGTTGTGCACCCCAAATACGGCTACCTGAAGGAGCTCGGAGTTGCAAGTTGCGGAGAAGATGAGGCGCGGCGTAGCAACGCTCCAGACTTTGTAACAAAGACTCCTATCAGGACCGAAAGACGTTCTCAAATCTGAACGCGGAAGGAGAATAAATAGATGACTTGCCTAATCGGGAGAATTGAGACGAGCTGGCAAACCGAGAAAAGTATGGTATGGTGCTGCGAAAATGTCCGAAAACTTTACAGCGGACTGACCGACTGCTCTTCAGAGTGGCACACGAGGGCGCCGCCCTAGCTTGGTGAACTTTCTCCCTGGGCGCGTCGACACGGTTCTAGGGCGAGCTTGAGCTTGTCTTTCTTCCCTTTGGCCGGTTCTTGAGGCCCAGGTTGAAGGTATCCTATTCAATTTGCAACGCATCGGTCTTGTATTGTCTTCATCATATTTTCGACGTGCCTCGTATCGAGCGCCGTATGGGAAGGCATGTCAAGTAGGTACATGATGTTATGATGGACAGGATTTCAAGTCAAGACAAGATGGCTTGACTCTGTGTTGTCCTTTTTTGTACACCTGTGGTCATGTGACGGACATCAATCTGTTTTATGTCCCGTCCCTTTTCTTTTCTTTCCCGTCCCATCACTTCGCCACCCCCAATCAAACCCCATGTACCGTGCGCACACAGGGCACTGAACGTGTATTTAGCTGGCGACTCCTATACTTGCTCCCCCCACCATGCTCTGCCCATGCTGCCTAGGAGCCTGCTTATTCTTGCCGTTCAAGTCGTAGGACGATCTCGTGAGTGGCGATCTGATCGCATCGTTGACCCGAGCACAGCACAAGACCCTCATAAAACAAGCTTCAAGTTCATAAATAACAATTGAAAAGGATTAGATTGCACCACTGCAAATCGATTTTTTCTTTTGAGCGCTTACACCGAGTCGACCGCCCTCCCGTGCTTGTTTTTCTGCCTTGGCCTTTCACGCTCGGATACGATCATCGCGTTTGCCATCTTGAGCTTTTGTTCTTCCGTGCGGCAATACTTAGCGCTTAGTGTACTGGGAAGGTTTATAAGTACAGCGAAGCATCAAGGTATCAAGACTCTTCCCTTCCTCACAGCTCCTAGTTTCGTATCGTATATGCCGAGCTGGTTCTCGTACTTAATCTGTTTATAGCCTGTGTATCGCCTTTCGTAAACGCTCGAGAGACTCGCGCTCTCATCGGTCACTGCTGTGTTGCTAGAAGCTTGCATCTTATCGATAAACGCCTTCAGAATCTATAACTTATCCGCTTCACGACTGGCTAGAAGGAAGAGTCTGTCTTCGCCCCATCGCCCTGCTACTTTGCACAGCGGACGTCGTTTTACTTATCGCTCATGACGTGCGTTTTGAATGCCTTGTACTCATTCCTAGATCGCTCAGGCCTTTCTAGGTTTATTATCCCTAATCGCGATCTTCCACAAGACATCGTTCGAGTTACCGATCCTACGACGGGTGCAAAGTATTGGCGCAGACGTCCCAAGAAAACACCCAATAGCGACTCACGCGTCCACCCTTTTCCCGCAACGTGCTCAACACCATTTTGCGAAAAAGCTGGACTGCCCCATGAAGGCGGTGAATGTGCCGGCGACCCTCTGCTTTTTGATCCGTACTATTCAGTCCAGGCACGCTACGCACCATTATTAGGAAACCCAGTCTATAGTCCGTTTATCCATGTACCATCGGCTCAACCGGGCTATCGATATAGAGGCGATCAAGACGCGTTCCAAAGATGGCTACGATCATTCCCGCATTGGCAAATGCCTCGTGAAATGCCCCCGGGCTGGGCGTTCCCTGGTCAGTTGGAACAGCAAAGTCGCACTGGGTCCTCTCAAAGGCGTTACACTCCTTACCGCGCTACAGGCAATTTACCTCAAGTAAGTCCTGTTTTGCCCCAATATGCAGTACCACGTGTTCCGTACCAGTCCATGCCGACACCATGGCCGTGTGTGTCTCCCGCATTAAACCGCGTTCCTGACTCTATTGAATGGGATGACGTGCAAGGTGGTAGATTGCAATGGACGCCACATCCATGGATTGCACATCCGCTTCCCCATCCTGACATGTCCGCACACGCATTCTGGAGCTTCCCGGGTAATAATAGCACTTTGCACGAACCATGGAGAGGTCCTGGCGGATGGTCGCCTAGATATGGGATGGATGATGAGAGACTGCGTATGCTTACAGGAGGTCATCCCCTCCCAGGCATGGACCCTCGATGGACACCAACATCATGGGTTCCTCCACTTTATTCGCCGCAGATCGGAGTATATTTGTCACCTTGGCTTGCAGCTAACCCGCGAAATGCCAACGTCCCGCATATCCTGTGGGATACTGCCGTGGAACCTCCCAATAAGATTCGTCGTGTGACGAGCCGTGGTGATATTGTGGACTTTGCGAATACAGACTTCTTCAAGCAGGCAGCCACCGACCCTGCAGTCAAAACTCTCCGAATCTTCTTACCCGGCATGCGAACTTCTTGGGGTCCAGTAGTGATTAACAAAGACGAGCCAATATCAGTAGGCGATGTCTTCAACGCCGTATGGGAATACCTACACAAGCCAATCACGCAGAGCGACTGGACAGCCATCCTAGAGTCTCACGGTGAGCAGAGACGCAATCGTATTGCGTATGCGATGTATAGGCGGTGCCAATGTGCAGCTGCTTTGTACGATTATATGGTTTCACAAGGTGTCAAACGTGTGGATCTATTGGAGGGAAGTACTGTGTACTGGGGAACGTGGTTGGTTTATAATGTTGATTACACTTGGTCGCTATGCATGGGTTTCATGCCAAAGGGTAGGATGGCGTGAATTCCAATCCCCGATCTGTTCATTTTCTATTTGAATTTTGTTCTTTGATCTTCTTTTTGCTTTTTGGATAGTTTTTCTTGGATAGGTTGGCTGGATGGGTTTTATGGACGGACATTGCTTTGCACTCTTGCTTTCAAGTGCTTTATAGAAACTCGCTATGACGATATGTACTGATGCTCATGAACTGACTTGTATAGATGTAATGACCCCAATCACGCTTTGTAACTTTCTTCATCACAAATGCATTGATTTGCTAATCGTACCAAAATGCTGTTTGCATATATTTATTTATATTAAACTACATGAATGCACACATCAAACGGTATCAAGTATTTTGTAGTGCTAGAGGCAGTTATGCGGGAACGGTAAGTTGCTTATCTTACTTTCGCCTCATTCGAAATGGACTGTCAAAATCTCCGAACAACTCGTGATATGATGCATAGTCTCACTCTTAGTCGCTCAGTGATCTACCACTTATAGCCGAACCATCAACTACATGAGAATGCCCATGTTGATCTTTATTATGATGTCTAAACTCAAAAATTCTATTAAGCACTGATACAGACTCATCAGTAGGTCCAGGTTTACTACGGTACTCTCAATTCATCACATCTTGATGCTTGATGCTTTGACTCCTAGACTGATTTCTGCTAGACATTGATCGAAAGGTATGTGAATAGCTAGATGATGTCCCAGGATGCGAGATGAGAAGAGACGAGACCAGCGTTGATCCATGTTGGCATGAGAGCATGATTAACTTGAAAGAGATTTTGTTCGAAGCCTTGGTTAAGGTTATCAATAGTTGCTTGCTACAACAATACAAGTCCAGGCACTAAGATGCCATCATCTGATAGTGCTGTATTAAATATCACCCTTAGTTAGAAGAGTAGCTAGTGTTGGAAGAGACGGATTTAACAAAAAACCGAATGGGTGCTGGCACAAACACAATTTTACTTCCTGATTTGCTTAACAGAACGTTCATTTTAAATAATAACCTGGACGAAAGTGCACTTCCCGTCAACAAGCTCGAAATAATATTTAAGCCTTCGCAAATTGTTTGACTCCTGGAGTCTCCTCAATGCGATAGACCAGTTTCTCTCCATGCACTTGGCCAGTCTTCAGGAGCTCAAGTCCCTTTGGCACGCTCGCAAGTCCGTCCGGCAAGACTTTCACGCGGTTGGACTTGAAGGGCGTTGGGTTGCTCGGAGATTGGGCGAGCCATTGGCCAATTTGACGGTAATATCTAGCTGCAACTGAAAAATGATAGAAATTTAGTTAGAGAATGTTTATCTAACAGACGAGAGCGAAGCCTTACACTCCTCGTCTTCACCATACGCAGTGTGTACACCAGTCCTCTCTGCTACGATGCCCTGCGGAATCTGCTTAAGCTCATCCTCGCTCGGCATGAGTACGTATGTGACTTTTCCCTTTCCTGTCGGAGAGACCTTGGCCAGGACGCGAGAGAGAAAGAGAGTTGATTGGTTTTCGGTTATAGCGTCGTAGACATATTCGACGTTGTGGCCCGTGGAGGCAGAGATGAGGGCTTGTTCCTGTTTTGAGCGTTTATAAATATAATTACATCGAGAACTTATTTCCACAGATGCTGGACACGTACCAGAGCATCACCTTTATGTTCGCGATAATCGACTATAACATCCGCACCAAGGCTTTTGGCGTAGTCCTTCGATGATCCGGCAATACCGATAACGAATAAGCCGGCACGCTTCGCGAGTTGGACAACGTATGCTCCAACTGAAGAAGACGCTCCGTTCACGATGATGCCTTTCTGCTCACCTATTGCACAAAGCGCAGATCCGAATTACTCCATGCGCAATTATTATGGGAAAGAGAGGGAAAAGAGGTAAGTACAAACCAGTAGCAGCCTCTGGAATCCCAAGGCGCTTGAAGAGTCCAATTGCAGCTGTCATAACCGCGAGTGGTAGAGTAGATGCTTCTTCGAATGAGATTGATTCTGGAATTGGGAAGGTATTGGAAGCGAGTGCCACTGTGTACTGTGCGTATGCTCCGTACTATTTTACATCCCTTGTTAGGACACCTCTTCCCAAGTTGTCTCGGAGTAAAAACCTAAATTAATCACCTTAGGGTCCATCGTACGCATCTTGCTGAACGCAGCCACCCTCTCGCCACCCTTAAACTCCCTCACTCCCTCACCGACTTTCACAATGTACCCTGCAACGTCATTTCCCTCGATTCCCGAATAATTAGGCATCCATTGCGGAACCTTCCAGTCTTTAGGATTTGCGGCGACTGCGACGTTTTGAATGAGGACTTCGTTTGGTCCTGGGGAAGGCACAGGGAAGGATTGGAGGGTTTGAGAGGTGTTGGTTGATAGCACGCCGAGTTGAGTTGCTGGAAGAGACATGACGAACAATTGAAAGTGAAGAATGAGTATGGATACCGAGTATTACACTTGCTGCTTATATGGTATTCGGATCGCTGACCGAGTAGATACACTATCATACACATACAAAGGAGCTGTGAATGTACCGTACTTAATCGCTCATTATATGCAGCTGACAAAGATAAGTGCATGACGTCATCCAGATTGGCAGACTCGAATCACTCGATTCCACTTTGCTGTGACCTGTCACTCTGTGTGCTTTTCCTTTTCATTGTACAAAGCTGCTGCACTCAAAAGCCTTGATCCTTAGTACTCTGCTGCATGTACTGATTACCAAAAGACTTGGTTGTAAGGCAGGTATATACCTGGATGATGCCTAGAGAGGAGAGATCAGACAAGAGTTAATCCATGTTGGTATGGGAGCATGATCAAAGATCTTTATCCAACGTTTGCCTTCAAATGACAACTGCAGTTTGCTGCAAGCCCAAGATCAAGGTTACCATCAGCTGATAGTGTTGTGGGGTGCAACATTGTCAGAAAGTTGAAAAGTAATACCAAATGGACTAAATATAAACATCAAATGCAATAAACACTTGGGTACAACAAGGCAAAGTAAGCACAAAAGTTAGAATCAAGGAACCATCCCAAAGCAGAAAAAAATCGTATTGCTTTGCTATTCAACAAATACAGTATTATCTCCTACCTCATTTTCTTACACTGAACAATCATTTAAGGAATAACCTAGACAATAGAGCAGTTTTCAATAATAAACTCAGACTAATACTTAAGCCTTTGCAGCTTGTTTGACCCCTGGAGTTTCTGTAATGTGATAGACCAGTTTCTCTCCATGCACTTGGCCAGTCTTCAGGAGCTCAAGTCCCTTTGGCATGCTCACAAGTCTGTCTAGTAAGACTTTTACACAATTGGGTTTGAAGGGCATTGTGTTACTAGGAGATTGGGCAAGCTATTGGCCAATTTGACAGTAGTACTGTTATGGTTCTCTGCTCTCATACCTTCAGTTCCAAGGGTTCTGCACCCTTCTGTACCAGAACTCAGGACTTCTGTCCCTTAGGGGTACTGTCTATAGACTATATGTGTACTGACTCTTACTACTACCCTTCCTTACTTTATCATTCCATTCCTTTGACCACCCCTTTGTTACAATTCTCCACTCTCTTACCTTCAGTTCTGAGGGTTCTGCACCCTTCTGTACCAGAACTCAGGACTTCTGTCCCTCAGAGGCACTGTCTATGGACTATA